GTTAGGGTTAGGGTTAGGGTTAGGGTTAGGGTTAGGGTTAGGGTTAGGGTTAGGGTTAGGGTTAGGGTTAGGGTTAGGGTTAGGGTTAGGGTTAGGGTTAGGGTTAGGGTTAGGGTTAGGGTTAGGGTTAGGGTTAGGGTTAGGGTTAGGGTTAGGGTTAGGGTTAGGGTTAGGGTTAGGGTTAGGGTTAGGGTTAGGGTTAGGGTTAGGGTTAGGGTTAGGGTTAGGGTTAGGGTTAGGGTTAGGGTTAGGGTTAGGGTTAGGGTTAGGGTTAGGGTTAGGGTTAGGGTTAGGGTTAGGGTTAGGGTTAGGGTTAGGGTTAGGGTTAGGGTTAGGGTTAGGGTTAGGGTTAGGGTTAGGGTTAGGGTTAGGGTTAGGGTTAGGGTTAGGGTTAGGGTTAGGGTTAGGGTTAGGGTTAGGGTTAGGGTTAGGGTTAGGGTTAGGGTTAGGGTTAGGGTTAGGGTTAGGGTTAGGGTTAGGGTTAGGGTTAGGGTTAGGGTTAGGGTTAGGGTTAGGGTTAGGGTTAGGGTTAGGGTTAGGGTTAGGGTTAGGGTTAGGGTTAGGGTTAGGGTTAGGGTTAGGGTTAGGGTTAGGGTTAGGGTTAGGGTTAGGGTTAGGGTTAGGGTTAGGGTTAGGGTTAGGGTTAGGGTTAGGGTTAGGGTTAGGGTTAGGGTTAGGGTTAGGGTTAGGGTTAGGGTTAGGGTTAGGGTTAGGGTTAGGGTTAGGGTTAGGGTTAGGGTTAGGGTTAGGGTTAGGGTTAGGGTTAGGGTTAGGGTTAGGGTTAGGGTTAGGGTTAGGGTTAGGGTTAGGGTTAGGGTTAGGGTTAGGGTTAGGGTTAGGGTTAGGGTTAGGGTTAGGGTTAGGGTTAGGGTTAGGGTTAGGGTTAGGGTTAGGGTTAGGGTTAGGGTTAGGGTTAGGGTTAGGGTTAGGGTTAGGGTTAGGGTTAGGGTTAGGGTTAGGGTTAGGGTTAGGGTTAGGGTTAGGGTTAGGGTTAGGGTTAGGGTTAGGGTTAGGGTTAGGGTTAGGGTTAGGGTTAGGGTTAGGGTTAGGGTTAGGGTTAGGGTTAGGGTTAGGGTTAGGGTTAGGGTTAGGGTTAGGGTTAGGGTTAGGGTTAGGGTTAGGGTTAGGGTTAGGGTTAGGGTTAGGGTTAGGGTTAGGGTTAGGGTTAGGGTTAGGGTTAGGGTTAGGGTTAGGGTTAGGGTTAGGGTTAGGGTTAGGGTTAGGGTTAGGGTTAGGGTTAGGGTTAGGGTTAGGGTTAGGGTTAGGGTTAGGGTTAGGGTTAGGGTTAGGGTTAGGGTTAGGGTTAGGGTTAGGGTTAGGGTTAGGGTTAGGGTTAGGGTTAGGGTTAGGGTTAGGGTTAGGGTTAGGGTTAGGGTTAGGGTTAGGGTTAGGGTTAGGGTTAGGGTTAGGGTTAGGGTTAGGGTTAGGGTTAGGGTTAGGGTTAGGGTTAGGGTTAGGGTTAGGGTTAGGGTTAGGGTTAGGGTTAGGGTTAGGGTTAGGGTTAGGGTTAGGGTTAGGGTTAGGGTTAGGGTTAGGGTTAGGGTTAGGGTTAGGGTTAGGGTTAGGGTTAGGGTTAGGGTTAGGGTTAGGGTTAGGGTTAGGGTTAGGGTTAGGGTTAGGGTTAGGGTTAGGGTTAGGGTTAGGGTTAGGGTTAGGGTTAGGGTTAGGGTTAGGGTTAGGGTTAGGGTTAGGGTTAGGGTTAGGGTTAGGGTTAGGGTTAGGGTTAGGGTTAGGGTTAGGGTTAGGGT